CCCCAAAACCCCAAAACCCCAAAACCCCTAATAAGCACTAACTCATTGAGATACTTATATAAATATTTTAAGATATGAACCAAGCTGATTGCAATCATAACCCCTTCTCAGAGATCGCCCAATGCCCTTGCTTCTGAAGTCATCAAGAATGGGTGTACCCAGATAATGTTTTTGTCCGCTCTCAACAATATTCCGGAGGGAAAGGAAGTCAAAATTCAACCTGTGAAAGAAGATACTCAAAGTTTTACAACCTAAGGAAAACTTCATACTCCGGTTTATCCAGAGTACGATCAACTATGGAGGATTCTTCTCTAAATTCATCAATCAATAATTCAACCGATTCTGATCTAAATCATGACAAACAACAAAATCAAGAAGAGAAGAAGGTTTCTGAAAGCACTCCCAATAAAGAAGTTTCCCAGAGCATCCAAGATCAAATAAAAACTATAATTCCTAGTGACACAGAGGAGTGCCCCAATTCCAAGAAGACTCTCACAAACAAATCTGACTTCCAAACCAAGAAGCCTAACTGCTTACAAAGAAGAGATGTCGAGTTTAAAGCCTCTTTTAGAAAAATTAAGAAATACTTCAAAAATATGTTTAAGAGGCAGAACAAACTCCTTGTTAGAAGGAGATACATCAACTGTAGCTTACAAGCAATAGAGAGAGGGTTCTTGAACACTCTTTCATGAATCATGGATGGAGAGGCTATCACCATGGATCTTGTTCATTTTTGTGCGGGAATAACATGTACTATAAAGGTGTCTGAGATTCCATGCAGTCAAACAGTTAGAGACGAGATTTCTAATTTCATAAGTGTAACTCAAAGATTCTCCAATAGAAAGCTTGAGATAGCCTTGAGATCTAAAAATGGGAGGATCTTATGTAAACATTTCCTCCAGTATGAGAATGAAGGAAGCTGCCAGAGGCTTAGAGAAAAATTTGACAGGATTAAGATGACCTAGCTATTAAAAATTCCTAAATAAATATGTCATAATTTTACCAAAATGCAAATTTTTTGAATTTATTTCTTTTTAAATATTGGTTGGAGTACTTTCTGAGAAATAATAATAGTTATAAAAACATTCATATCTTCATTTCATCCAATAAAGGTCTGATTTCCACTCTTCTATCATGACTTTTGCTAACTCATCTTCTTTATATCGAAAAATTTCGATATTTCCTAACCTATACCTTTGAAGAGGTTGGTAGTCACATAGCTGAGCACAATAATTTTTCATAACTGAATGATTCATAGCCTATTTATGTATCAAAACTCGTACGAAAGTATGATGTGATCACTCTTAAATGTAAGGAAATACTCAAAAGTTGTCCTAATAATTTCCATATCATTTAGGCACTAATTGACATAGATAAATTTGAATCCCTTTTAACTTTTTGATTAGTGAAAGTTAAAGAAGTACTTGTCTTAGCTATATTTTAAGCCAAATCATATTCTTATGCTAGCTGATCTTGGTTGAGACCGCTGATGATCATTAACAGAGAAGAGATCGAATCATGCTAGCTCATTATATGCTCTTTTGCCAAAAGTTAACTTACCCCACTGTTGATTCTAAACTTTTTAATAGAGTCAATCGATTTTCCGGATATAGTTTAATAGACCGAACCTTACTCTTCAGTAAATCCTAAGTTGAAGACTTCTTTAAAAACAAAGCTAAGGCTTTTAAAAATATCAAAAATTGAAATAAAGTAGGATAATACCAATTAAGGTTCTCTCTTCGATTTCCACTATGTTAAGCCCCACCCAGCTTTTCCAGCATATAATCTTCTTATTTCCAAGTATTCTCTTTATTTTAAAGCAAAACGCCTGGGCTGTAAAGGATTATGTTCATTTCCTTAATAATACCATCTATATCTAGGCCTGCTTGAGGTGTTTTAGGAGAAATCTGAAGAATCATACATCTTAAATGAACATAAAAGAAGTCTCTTCTGATCGAAAATAGGAATCGTAAAAACTTTAACAAAGAAGTCCACAATAAACCATTATAGCCTGCACTTTTTGCTGTTGAAGATTATATTAATAATAGGAAATCTTAGAGTGTGATAAACCTCTTCCTCTAGATTCAAATAAAACTATTAACAGTTACATTGGCAGTATTTCATATTTCTAATAGTGCAGTTATTGAATTCGCAAATTAGAACTTTTCTATGGAGAGCGCATATTTATTCTTAATCGGAACTCTTTGATTCCAAGTATACTAGCTAAGATTATAAACAAATGTTGTCCTTTATATGGTCTTATCATATTTCTCTATGTCTATGCATAGCCAGAAATTAGCAAAAGGGCAGAGAAAATATCCAAGTATACTTTATAAGGTATGACAATCGCTCTTAAAATTATGTGAGCAAAATCCCCAAAAGTTGTTTTTACTCGTGATTTTTGAAAGAAGGATACACTGTTTACTGTTCACACTTATCCTTTACTGGCAACCTTTAGACTCCATTGAACTGACTTATAATTCAGCTGTCAGTCATCGTAAATTTCAAAATCTCCAAATCATGATTCTAATTTTAGCTTATAACTTTCGAAAGAGAAAGCTGTCAAAAGAACTGAGGACCTTCTTCATTGTCCTACAAGAGTTGCTTTCTTGTGGTTGCCTTTAAATTCTTATAGTATGACTTCCTGAATTTAGGAAAATTCAGGATTCTTCTCTCCAATATTTTTGAATTGGAAAACTAAAGATTCTAAAGTTGATAGAGTTTTCAAGAAATGCAAGTTTGGATAATATCAAAAATAAGCATAATCTTAGACCCTGGAAGATAGGATTATGCCTCTTAGTCTTTCTTACCTTAGCATAACGATAAACTCATAAGGCTTTCGGGAATTAAAGATATTTTAGATATGATTTTCTCAGGGTCATCTATACCAAAGTATTTATTCATCCAAATTTAGAGATGATTCAGAAGACATTTTAGCACTTTGGGAGTCTTATTTCGCAATTATTAACCAAATTCGGAAGAATTCAATTCCTTGCATATTTCACGGGGTTTTGGGGTTTTGGGGTTTTGGGGTTTTGGGG